AGAAGAAGAAGAAGAAGAAGAAGAAGAAGAAGAAGAAGAAATGACATGTATTTAGCCCTCAGCCCCGATTAAAGTACACAGGCTCTGAGCGCTTTACAATACAGTACAACGTACAACGGACAACATTAACTTAAAACGTTGTGTTCTGACTAAAGAAAATTATTCCAAATATCCATCTTATTAATTTAAAAACAGAAACGACTTCAGCTGACATTTGAATGAATCAGAAGATTTGATCTCTCTTAAAGTACTTGGTAAACCATTCCAGATCTTGGGGCCTTGGTATTCAAATGCCCTTTCACCCATTGTTTTAAGTTTCATAGATGGTAAAATAATTTTCTTTTTGTCAGCTGATTACCTTAAACTGCGAGTTGGAATGTACAGTCTTAACAGATTTGAGAAATATGATGGTGCATTATAATTCAAACATTTGTGACATAGGGTGGCCAACTTGTACACTATCCTTTTCTCAACAGGAAGCCAATGTAAAGTTAGTAAAAGAGGTTTAGCAGTCTCGCTTTCTTTTCCGTAAACTAAACGTGCAGCCTTGTTTTGGACAGTTTGAAGTCTTTTAACTTTCTCCAGTGATATCCCTGATAACAAGGAGTTACAATAGTTACTCTATTGGTCATATTACTACTTCTCATAACATCCCCACCTGCTAGTCTATCTTTTGTCCAGTTCTTGGTGGTCACTCACCTAAGCAGAAAAAGGCAATGACCGCCACAGCCAAACCACAGAGCGACTGAGGCCTGGTGGGGGTGGGGGACATTTCACGGTCACTGCAGTACCCGTCTCAATCACATCGGCGTCAATGTCATTAGAGTGGTCTGCAAAAAGTTTGAGAGTGGGATATCGGGAAAAAGGGAAAGTGGACATGTCATTATTGTATTGTAGCAGAAGCAGGAGAGACAACAACGTTGACGACCTCTACAACAACAACCACAGCAGCAACAACGAGTCCTCGACGACTACTGCAACAAGAACAGCAGCTACAACAACAACGACGACTACGACAAGAACAGCAACAGTAGCAACAACAGCGACGTCGTCGACGACGACAACAACAACAACAGCAACAACGTCGATGACTACAGCAGCAGCAGCAATAACAAGAATGACGACGACCACTACAACAACAACAGCTACAACTCAACAACAAATATTTTTAAAAAAATGAAATACAGTTGAACCTTACCAAGAGCGCCACCCGTTGTCCAGGAGAAAAGTGGTTGTCTCACTTATACACAGGTGAACGCCTTGGGCAGTGCATTTAAAAAACAAAAACGAGGGGAAAGTGGGAAGTGGTTGGTTGTAGAGATGATTGCCTGGGACAGGCTAGTGTTTGACAGCGCTCGCAACTGCATAAGGTCTTTTGTTTTTTTTGTTTTTGTAAAGTGTTTTACGGCGCTCGCAACTGCATAGGTCATATGAGCACGCGGGACACACCTACTATTTTCAGTCGGTAGGAAATTTTTATTTTTGCCTGGGTGGCGGCCGAAGCCTACTCTTATCGATTTTAGACCACCAAGGGATCTTTAACGTGCGCAACTTGCACACGGGCCCTCCGAAATTTTTCGCCCTAGTCCGAGAAGGCTAGGACCGTGTAGATCTTTCCTACCAGAAGACCAGGGGTGTGGCTGAAAGACAGCAGTAAGAAGGAGCGAAGGAGTAACAGTAGCTGCAGAAAGAATCAGGAGCCTCATAAGGTCTATTATGAGCGCGAGGGACACATCAAGCATTTTCAGTTTGTGTATTTATTTATTCGTGTGTTTATGTATTTATGTGCCCCACTTTGAAACAAATGTCCCAAAGGGAATCGATCAAGAGGAATTTTTTTTAAAAAAGATTTTATTTCGTAGATATGCGCGCGCTCATATGACCTTATGCAGTTGCGAGCGCCGTAAAACCCCATACTAAACTAAAAGTAGATATGCAGTCGAAATTGTCCAAGATGGTCAGCCATTGTCATGGAAAAGAGTGGTTGCGTAGCCTGATGGACGTCTTGGACAGTGTTAGTATAACAAAACACACACACACATAGACACACACATACACACACAGACACACACATACACACACACACATACACACACAGGCACACACACACACACACATACAGGCACACACACAGACGCGCACACGCATGTACGCACGCGCGCGCGCACACACACACACAGGCACACACACACATACGCAGGTACACACACAGGCACACACACACATACACACACACACACACACACAGGCACACGCACACACACATACAGGCATACACACAAACATACAGGCACACACATACACAGACGCACGCATGCACTCACGCACACACACACATACACGCACACACACACTCACACACACACACGCACTCAGACACACAAACACACAGAG